CTCTCTCTCTCTCTCTCTCTCTCTCTCTCTCTCTCTCTCTCCCCCTCATCTCTCCCTCTGCCTCACCTCTCCTTTTTCCTTCCCTCCCTCCCTCCTTCCAGCTCTATTATTCAATGTTCTACCTGTATTTCCATTTGTTTGGGGCCTCCTCTAAAAAACCAGCTCTGGACTCATGGCCAAATCCTGCCCTTTTATCGCCAAACTGCCCCTCTCCCTCCCTAAGCCCTAAGTCCTTCCTTCCTTCCAGCTGCTGTTTTTGCAAACTAAAATTCCCAGAAAAAGCCGCAGCTTGTTTACGACGGCCGACCTTTTGCTTCGGCTGGGAGGGAGGTCAGCCATTACCTCTGGCTGTTTGGAGCTGGCTCGTCCCCAAGAGACGCGTCTCTGGGAAGCCGCCACCTCCCCTCCCTACCCCGATAAAGCCCAGGTGCCCAGCCTGGCGCCTTCCTGGCACCCGTGTTTAATCATTTAACCAGAATAGAGCTGGAGGTCATCTAGTCCAGCCCCTTGCTCAAACAGGACACCTTATATCAGTGGTCGCCAACCGGTGGGGCGGGGACCACTGGTGGTCCAGCAAGAAAATTTTGGTGGTCTGCAGAGAAATATCAAAACCCCCCCTCAGCAACCCCCAAATCAATTAATCCAGACTGCTGCTGCTTTTTCTGCGGAGACCCTGGGAAAATCACCCCCAAAGTGCAGGAAAAGCCCCCACCCCATTTTCCTACCGATTGATCTTTTTTTAGGATTGCAGGATACCCCCCCCCCCCCCCCCCCCCCACACACACACCGAATGGAGCTGAAAAGCAGGTTAGGAATATGGCTGCCTTGGAGGTTGTGTGTGTGTGTGTGTGTGTGTGTGTGTGAAGGTCCTGTGTGTGTGTGTGTGTGTGTCTAAGGGAGAGAGAGAACACTGCCAGCGAGGTTAGATCGGATATCTCCGAGGTTAGATTGGATCTCCCACCAAACGTCAGCAAGCCACTGTCACTCAAAATTCATATTAGTGGTCCGCGGGATTTAAAATTATGAGTTTGGTGGTCCCTGAAGTCCAAAAGGTTGCCGGCCCCTTGCCCTATACCACTCCAGACAAGGGGCTGCCCAGTCTCTTCTTAAAAAAACCTCCAGGGATGGAGCACCCACAATTTCTTGTGGCAGGCTGTTCCATTGGTTAATTGTCCTCATTGTCAAGAAATTTCTTCTTAATTCTAGGTTGCTTCTCTCTATTTTCCATCCGTTGCTTCTCGTCCCGCCTTCAGGGGCTTTGGGGAATAATTTGACCCCTTCCTCTTCTTTGGGGCAGCCCCTCAAATCCTGGAAGGCTGCTATCGTGTTCCTCCTCGTCAGGTGGGATTCTACCGGGTTTTTGTTTTTTTAAACAATTTTATTCGTTTTTTTAAAAACAAACAAAACATAAAAACATCAGCTCTCTTCCGTACATATCTACAAACAGTGTGTCGGTTGGTTCATCAGTTTTGTGCATTCATTTCATAGTCTCAGTTACGGTTATGTTACATAATAACTCTTATTATCAATCCAAACTTATATGTCCTCATATCATTATTAAAAAAATCATTTG